GGTTACCGACATCGAAATGCTTACTAAAACTAACTTTTAATTATAATATGTACCTAGTACGATTTCAATAAACTAGTATGATAATAAAAATATTTTAGACAACGTAGGTACAACATAATTTCTCATAAAATGTGAAATTCTAAGAGACGCATTTTATTTGATATTTAACATAGATATATGCCTATTTTTACCCGACTGCGCGACGCACAGGAGGGTAAAGTGTTTATTCCTTAAGATAATAAGAAATATAGGAAGTTTACCTTTTACTTTAAGAAACACAGTAAAATTTATTTTTGTAAAATATTTTCTTTTTACGTGCGGTTTATGGAAAACGTAACGCAGACGGCCATAATAGATCATGAAGGTCGTCCATTAATCAAGTCAAGATTGTAAGTAGCTTTTTAAGCTGGGGTCAATAAAGCAAAACCGGCATTTTGTGGTATTAATTTGGTGAAACCGGTATTTCCCAGATTTAAATAGAGTGAGTATTTATTATTTTAGTGGTAGGTAAGTAAGGTAGAAAGATTTGAGAAGAATAGCAAATTAAATAATTTACCAATTAAAAAACAGGTAATGGTTTATTATTAAATAAGATATAATCAGATACTAGTCTTAGATATTCTAGAACTATAAAGATTTAAAACAAAATATATCACTATAATCAATACTATAAAATTATACAATCCCTCAGGGGGTTGTTCCGTATTTTTCCTATGACGTCTCATCCCATTTCTTTACTCATCCAAAACTAGTATTCTTCCTCTACCTATAAATATCATTCTCAATTAATCCTAAATCCGTTTAGGATTAGGATTATATTACAATATAATTTTTATCGAATATTATAAATGAAATAGGCACATTTAGTTTTTAAAAGTATTGACCTACATGTTTTATTAAATATGTACGTACATGATCATCATTAACCTATTAACGTTTCCACTGCTGGGGCATAGGATGCAGTCGAGATTAGAGAGAATGGGAGGACCCCACTATTGCAACAGATTAGTATGAGTATTATAGAGAAACTTGCACGTGCTACAAACAGGCGGCAAAATGAGACGGCGATTCAGTGAGTATTTTGTTCTCACTGAATCGCTGTCTCTTTCACACTTTTATGCGTATTATATTAATAATATGGCTTAATTAAACTAATTATGAAAAGACAAAAATGTCTATGCCCTATTATTAATGCCTTTCTGTATTTTAAAAACTTTTTGCCAGTAATTACGGATAATTATTAAATACATATATATAGAATAATTGTCAAAAAAAAAATATCTTGATAATTACGAACCCTGCTCAGGAGTATGTTATTTAGTTAAGAGATGGAGTAATTTTATTTTAATTTATATAAGTAATGTTCAAGGAAATATTAACAACCCGAAGAGACCAAATCAAATCAATCTATAATACTACCAATATACTCAACATTAGAATCAAAACTATGTCAACGACTACGTACGAGCTGGGAATTTGTCGATTTACATATTTCGTTATCAGATACAGACCGCCATCGATTTTCCGTTAGACCCTATTTAGTCTAGCACTCGGGCGCAAAGCGCTTAAATATTAATTCTAATAATAATTAAATTAATAAATACTAGCAATGAAAAATGTATTTGTCACATTCCAAGTACCTATCTAAAGCTTTATTTGTTTTGATTTAACATTATTGTAAATACGTAGTCGATTCCAATTTTTTTAAATACGCCTTAACGCAGAAGTACCTATGTAACTTCGGCATAACGTTAATATTTTTTTCTAGGTAACGAATTTCTTTCTCTTTTATTTTTTTGCATTTTGATGGCCTTAACCATAAAAGTATGAAGGGAAAATTGAAATTACTCTTAGAAATCACCTCAGATCATGGCATAAAATCTAGTTCGAATCTAACAAAATGAGCGGTCAGCGACCCGTGTAGATAGGTACCTACGAGTACATACTTACGGCACAGTGCTTACGGCGCGCGGCGTCGAGCGAGCGCTCAGCTGACGCATGGCGCGCGGTGTCCATAAATTAAGTTTTAAAATCTCGATCTTTGATAAGCGATAACTTTATTTTTTAGTATTGGAACATATCAAAATTAAAAATACGTGTTTGTTCAAATTACTTAAAGTTTATTTTCACAAAATCTTCGCAGTGGTTTTAAATTATTCCTGTATTTTGCGTCAGAGTAGAAAAAACACGTTATTATTAATTAGAATCGGACAGTTTAATTATTTCGGTATTTTTATACATATTTATTTTATACTTTTGAAACATTGTATCGATGAAAACAAAAACATTTGTTCTGTGACGCTGTATGGCCTGTTGCGATAAAAAAATTTGCTTTGCTAAAACCTCTTTCTCGTTCAACATTCGAGTGTGGCAGAGATAAAATTGCCCACATAAACTCGGGCAAATACTTAAAATAGGAATTCCCTGCAGTGTATATGTAGCAAAGCGGAGTCGCCTCTTACCAAAAAGCAGATAATTTGGTATTCATTCACCACAATTTGCCACTTGTTAATTTTGAGTATTAAACTAATTAATAAATGTATGTAAAGTGGTGTAAAATAATGAGATTTATGTTTATTTTACCGGATATCGGATACCGGATATCCGTTTCATCTCTAATATAAACCATTGTTATCTATGTACTTTTGCCATCTCATAGGTAGTTCATTGATCCCCTTACTGAAGAAACATTCGGACGGGAATCAATACAATCTTTAACGGCGATTTGCACTGCCCATTGGAGTTGAATTGTTTCCCTTGCAAGAAGTTATCCAAATTACGAAAAAAATGGTAATCTGTTGGAACAAGGCCCTGGGAGTACGGTAGATATCTTAGACATTCCAATTGAAGCTCTTCTAATTTGGTAGTCGTCTGTTGTGCAGTGGTCTAGCGTTGTCATGAAGCAGCAGTGGCGTAGAGCAATTGACCAGCCTCGGTTGCATTAGTTTTTCCTAAACAGCTAGAACAGATAGAAGTTTTTCCAGCATTGTTTGCAATTGATGACAATAGACGTCTTCCGTAATCGTCTGGCCAAATTTGAGAAAACTGTAATGAACGACACCGGCACTAGTCCACCAAATACTTGCAAGTAACCTTTTTGGGGTCAATTTTCGCACTTGGGTCAGGATTTGGCTGGCATGCCAGGGTCCAACCATTGCGATGAACGCTTCCGATTATCGTAGAGAATCCACTTTTCATCAAAGTTAATGATTCGATTTAAAAACCCTTCATTTTTGTGCCGGTTAAGTAATGTAACGGAGCAGTCGAAGCGCGTTGGCTTGTTTGCATCACTCAATTCGTGAGGTACCCACCTTTTAAACTTTTTAATCTTTCCAATTTGCTTCAAGTGGATTAAAACAGTTTTATCACTAACACCGTGGCCTGTAGCTAACTCGGACGTGGTTTGCGATGGATACGCTTCCACAATAGACTTCAATTCTTCTTTATTAACTTGGGTCTCCGGCCGTCCACGGGGCTTGTTCTGCAAGTCGAAGTTTCCAGAACGAAAATGTTGGAACCAAAAACGCACTGTGTTTTCTTTTGCGACACAAGCGCCATACACATCATTAACGCTGCGAGTCATTTCCGCAGCACTGGTACCACGGTGGAACTTGTACTCTTAATAATTATAACACGATATTTCAAGTTTTCCATTTTTTTATACTGGGTAAATAGGACAAACAGAAGAAAAAAAAAATAAATGCCGCCTATTGAAACACAAATACATGTGTAAATGGCTGTATAAATTTAAATTTGGAATTCCCAACCAAAGGGGAGAAATTTGTGATTAAAGTGACCAGTACGATATAACGCCAATTTCATATGTAAGGACCTAATATTTATGCAAATCACAATATTTGAATAAATCATGAAAAAAACTATAGGAATTATAGATATTATAATATAAACAAAGTTTTTTATGTATTTAACATTCTTTGACGCAGTTATATCTATTTATCTAAAACCTTTAAAAGAGCATGTACAATTACTGTATTATTTTTTTTAAAGTAATAATCACAAAGGTATACCGCAGAACCCGTTTAATACTATCATATGTTTTTATACATTTCTTAACGTTTTATACGATTCGTCGTCTCGTTTAGTACGACGCCAACACGTACCACACATTACTACAATCAAGCTAAAGGCATTGTCACTTCAGGAAAAAATTAAGATATTGAAAGATTTTGATGAAAAATTACAAACTAAAAATCAAACTCAATTAGCTGCTGAGCTTCAGTTACGAGTGTCTAGGTTACGTACCATTTTAATAATAGAGAAGAAGTCAAAGAAAAATATAGATTTGGAGATGTGCATAGAAAAAAAACAAAAGTTGAAAAATTTTGATAAATTAGAAAAAGTTTTGGTGGTATGGCTTCATCAAGCATGAGCTTTAAAACTGCCCATAAGTGGGCTCACAATACAGCGACAGCGCGTAAAATTTATTTAAGCTTGCAAATCGCTGATTTTAACGTTTCAAATAGCTGGATAGATTGTTTTAAAAATAGCCACGGCATTATGTACCGTCAAATCAGAGGATGGCAACACTTTCCGAACTGTTGGAAAATTACGAATCACGAGACATTTTTGACACAGACGAATTCGATTTATCTTTTTTAATTGATGCCAGATAAATTCTATGTTTTCAATCCCTCTTAAATACGCATTCCCGCTAAGATGCGTTTTTGGTAGAGTCCCAGTAACGTCGTCTTAAAAGGGGTTTACTGTACATTTCTTTCATGTTAAAGTTAACAAATATTTTTTTTTGTAGTTTTTATGTATTAGCTATTTACAGGATTCGTAATTATCATCATAATTATCCGTTAAATATCTGATAATTATCCATAGTGGTATTCGCTCTCCTTTAAATCGCATAGTTGACACTTATAATAAAAGATTTTGTACAGTAGACATTTTTTCTTCTAGTGTAGGGTCATACAAAAAACAAATAGTTGATATTTTGTTGAAATCTTAAACACTTCATTGATAGTTTTATTTTTGCATTTGCTGACAGTCTCGAATATACACACTCGCATACACACACACACACACATACACACATTCACACACATGCCTATACTAGAGATCATATATGCGCACACAAACATGCACTCAATTAAAGAAAAGACATACATAAATATGCACAAATCTCTGTTTCACTGTACATGGATGTAATAGAATGGTATTTTTCAATATGATTTGGTTCTATATAAATAGTTTTAATTGTAATTTAAACATAAGTTGTATGAGTCTTGCAAAGAATCTGCATCTTCAGTTTGCACTAGAATACTTGTATTTAAATGTAACCAACGATATTGAGTTTACAATAAGTACAATAAGTCCTAATTTATGTAACTTTTAGCATTAAGTTTATTGTAAACTTGTTTGTGGTTCATAAATAAATCAAAAAAAAAAAAAAAATAGTTACTGGCAAAAATTTTTTCAATACTAGGCTTTCATACTTGAATAAACTTATATTTTTGTAGTTTTAAATTATACAAACTAAAAAAAAACAAAAAAAAAACAAAATTGTGAAATCACATTGAACAGAAAGTAAAATGAAAATATTTAAAAAAAATTAAAAGGAGGGCTTTTATATCATTTTGTTTTTTTTTGTATTTGTAGGTCCATCCTAATAGATATTCTCTACCAGATAAACCATATTACAGTTGTATAAAGATGATTCTTCTTTAATAACAAGTCCTAATGTCCAAAAAGATTTTGTGTTGTGTTTTGTAATTATATAGACGATTATTGTGATAATTATCAATCTAACCCTGCATGTTACTAATGAAGTACCACAAATATACCAAATGCTAATAGGTAATTACTTTTTCTACAGCAACAACAAAATAAATAAGACTGCCCTATAAATTATGGAAAATATAATTTTTGTCACCAAAACAATCCTAAAGATGCACCAAATCTAAAATTGCTAATTCCCATATGAAAAACATTTTTCAATGTAATCAATCACTGACTCTGCTGGTTTAATTAGGATAGTGATATTCTGAAAACTTTTATTTAAAAAAATTAAAAGAATGCTCTGTATCATCCTTATGAGAATTAATGTTAAGCAAGGCTTTGAGTAGAGTAAAATACCCAGAAGCTGACCTCTCACTAGTAGTCAGTGTTTACAGGCTTATTCGTATAAAAGTTTATACAATTATGAATGCCTTCTGTATAAAAAAAATGTTGCCAGTAACTATAACTATAATAGTTATCAGAAATTTATCCAATAATTATCCAACAAAATAATTAGCTTGATAATTATGAACCCTGGTAACATGTGAAACATCATTTCAAAACCACCTTAAAAGTATTTTGAATATTGATAAAAATATAAACCTAAAATACCTTCTCATAATCATAATATATAAAATGTTTTGAAGCTAAAAAATACAGACAGCAGGCAGCCACTTTGTTTCATACTATGTATAAATTACATGTTTCTAAATAGTTGTTGACATTTTCACGTCATTATTAATTGCAAATGCTGTTACTCTTTATAAAATGTTTTGAAGTTTCTTGCACCTGTTTTACTTCACAGTTAAAGGAACCTGAGAAGATAAAAAAATAGAATAATTTGGACTATACAATTTTTTTTTGTGTGTATTGTATTATTGCTACTATTTTGAATAAAGAGAATTTTGGCTTCTGAATTTCTACCAGTGTTATATACTTAGACTTACCTTGTCCCTGAGGAAAAGCCTAATATATACAAGGTGTATGATGGCAAAATTTCCATACGATCAAGAATCACAAAACAGTTTTGAATTTTTTTGTTTTGGTTTTATAGGAAAATCTTAAGTTTTACCATACTTAGAACTGTTACAGTAACATATACACTGTAAAATTTAGCACACGTATTTAGAAGCCCATATGGACCAACATGTATTAATATTATGCCTTCCAACGAAATTACATATATACAGGTCAAATGGAAAATGTCTTTTTGTTGAAGTCGCATTACTTATTTTAAAAATCTATTAAAAATCCAATGGGTGAAACACATCTGATTAACGATCATTCGAACATATATAACGCAAAATAATGTTGCCAAAAAGCCAGTGATGACCCCAAACAACAGGAGTGCCTATCAGAATTGATTCTTAATATTAATTAATATTTATCGTCTCAAAAAATATTTAAAATAAATATACCTCATTTAAAATTAGTAAATATTAAAAAATGGGTTAGTTTCTATCAAAAACTTATGTGGGCGTCATTATACATATACACCGGAATCGTACGAAGGCCCACGAACAAAGTAATAAAGAAAGATCTCAAGTCCATACAGTTAATGTTACATACCTACGTCGTCTGTGATAGAAAAGGATAAAACATTTATAATTACTTAACTAAATAAATCTCAATAGAGCAAAATTCATATATATTTTAGACTTGTTTATACGAAATTAGTTAATTTCCATATTAATCATGAACAATTCAATGTAATTCAAAATTGAATGGTAATTCTATCAACAATGAAAAAAAAAAACACTCCAAATCAAAATATTTGCGGTAACTAACTCAAAAAGAGTCTATTACATTCAAAAATATTTCACTAGGAATTTAATGTAGACAATGAACATCGTACCAAAACATTTATCATGGAGATAAATTCGGTAAAAAAACTATAGGAAGAATAAATATTATTACCGTTTGAAGTGCTCCCTTATTCGGTCTTCACGAATGTTATCGGGTAAATTGCCAACCCACAGATGCCGAGTCTCTCTAACCATCTTGCTTCGAACTCCACATTAGGAATCATTACCCGTTCGCGACACTACGTGGCAAATATTAATTTTGCACACAGCGGTGCTTCACACATTTTGATTTTATCACAATATTAAAAAATAGACATTGTTTTAGACACATAGGTAACACTATTTGATAAAAACAACACGTACATTCACCTCCACGACATTCGATAATCTCACTACACAATTCCACTTCACTATAAACACACCACGTAATAGACGCGAGCGTACTCTTCGCAGCTCTCGAATTGACAGTGAAGTCAGCTTCGACGCGAGTTTGCCGATAAGCTCCGCCTTCTGACCGCTGCCGCGCAAAGTGGAGTAGGGTGCCCAGGTTAGCCAACCCCTTACCACCTTTAAGTTACTAAAATAAGGTTTCTAGAATTGGATATATGTCAAAAAGGTTGTTTAAAAAATACGTATCTGTATTCTAATTTTAAAAATAACCGAGTAAAAGTGTTTACTTATATCCACCCACCCTGGCATCCTACTTACTTACTTAAACTTAAAAAAATACAAAACAATTTAATATTGTATGGTAGCCAAAAACACAGGATTTACTATTATATTGTAATAATTTAGTTATAAAATTACCATCTATTAATAAAAAATAAATACGGGAGGTATCCGTGAGAATGATATAGCGGTCCGCTGGCTAGATTACCCCAAAATGTTCTATCTCTTTCTGCTCGCAATATAGCCATCCCGCTTCGTCTCTGTATTTAACAAATTCGGTGTTGCACTGTTCTTCAATTACCTTTTCGCGTTGGTATTATTTATCTGTTTCTGTTATCGGTGTGACGAAAAATTCAAGTTAGATGAAATTCAATTAATATTTGAACATAATTTGAATTGGGTGATGATCTCTTTAAGTACAAACATTCTGTTTTTGCAAAAGTGATATTTTTTTGACGTCCGGCCAGGCGAACATTTTTTTTTATATTTAAAAATGTTATTAATATTTTTCATGATAATGCATTTAGTCTTTTAATTGTTTTAGCTATCTAATCAATAAAAGCGACAGTAAATATATGAAAAAGTTGGTGCCAAAACTACGAAGTATAATTTTCTTAACATGTCCATATGCTGTCGTTCCTGATATTTCGACACATATTTCAGAATTATGAAAATACTGAATATTTGCAGACTTATTTTACACTAGCTGTGCCCGCAACTTCGTCTGCGTGGGAAGTATTTTGGTAGAATTCTCTTTTCCTATGAATGGAGTCGAAACGATTAAGATCAATGGGCCATAACACACTATGCGGGCTTAATGCGGATCGGTGGGTGTTAACGTTGCTAATACAGCCAGGACTAACGGCTCAAGATAATAATGTTTTGGTCACCCATCCTGAGTACGGTGCTTACGAATGTTCTTTTTCTGTTTTTTTTCGTTTCTCGCGCTCTGGTAGTCGCTTGTGTCTGAGAATTTATTCGTACCTTTAAACTGTTCTTCTTTTGTTTTTGATCTTTTTAAATTATTATTATTTGTCTAGTTGTATGTACAATCGGTTATTTATTGTTCTATTTTCCATGTAATGCTAGGTTACCTGGAAGAAAACGCTGGCTAGCGATGAGTTTCTCGTTTGTACTTAGTTATGTAAAATAAGTATTCATGTATGTCCTTGTTGTGTTAGTATTGATAATTTCTTCGTGCTAAATAACCTCCATCAAATCAAAAAAATATTAATTCATATATATCCGAAATCATGGTTGTTTTCTCTCCAGATTTCGGTTGTCTTAAAAATATGACCTTAAGTGTAAATAATATTCTTTTGAAGCAATAAAAACTTGAAAGATTGTTCCAAGAAACTAGTAATTGCATAGACCAAAATGTCAAAGACTATTGGTATTAGTAAACATTTACTTCATCTGTAAAATTACTGTATTTCTGTTGATTAATTTCAATTTCATTTAAATTGTCAGATATTCAATTATAAATTAGATAATTTTTATTCTAGAGAACATATAATATGACACAAGATTAGATGCAGTCTTTTTAAGAGAATGAAATTTTAATTCAAGAGAATGTGTCAGACGAATCAAAAGAATGATTCTCTTAATTCTATATTATGATTTTTTTATATTTAAATATGTGTACTATGTTCTAAAATTAGCATCTTTTCATTTATATGAACATTATTTTTGTCTAAAACAAGGCGATATTTTTGTAAAATCATAACGTGTAGGTTTTAGAGAACCCTGTGTTTACTAGAAAATATGTAATCTTCAGCGAAGAGAACCGTTTTTTCTATTAGAGAGAAAATGAAAATTGTATCAAATAAATTAACTGTGATTCAATAATGCTATTATCTTGAATTTAAACACATAAGTCTTGATACAAGAATTAGTAAATTAAAGTAATGCCGCAAATGTTTTGATTCTAAACACGAAAGGTTTCCTACAAACGTCTAGTCGTTTCACCCAGACGATACTGTTTTTTTTAAATGAGACTGTGTGAAATTCAGTCAATGTAGTTTATTTTAATTCAATAACTTCTATAATTTTATTCCTAGAAATTTTAGTTTTAATGAAGGTGTGGTTCTATTCAATATAGCTCATAATTTAAGGGTCAGCGTAGGCCAGGCGAAGAATGCTTAAGCATTTTTCTATTGAGTCTTATCGTAGATAATTTTACCATGATGTTATCTAGAGTAATACTATCAATAGAAAAATGCTCGAGCATTCTTCGCCTGGTCTACGCGGACCCCAAAATTATGAGCTATATCGAATAGAACCACACCTTCAGTGACTCTCAAAATATGACATAAAAACAAATAAAAACAAGCTTGATTAAAATTTTATTTATTTGTCACAGAGATATAAAAATCGAAACAAAAATTGACTTTTAGACAAACTCAAATAGGTACAGTAACAATATGAAACTTTGACATTGCTCAGACACCATTCTACTTCGACAATATTATGTAACTTCGACACCATTTTACTCCGACTACTCTAATCTGACTCCGACACTGAGCCACTCCAACAACAATTGACATGACATAACATGAATTTATTCAGATAAGGATTTTCTTGGGAAACCACTGGGATCTTTTTTACCAACCGATGAACGGGAGGAGATAAGGGTTGATTGGGTGTTGAAGATTGATGGCATGGAGGGGATTGATGGGGGGAAGGTGGAATGATGGTCAATGGCGATTGATGAGAGAAAAGTAGGATTGACGAGGGGATGGAGGGTTTTAATGAAGCGATGGTGGAGATCGACGAAATGTGGGACTTGATGGTAGGTGGTGAAAATTGACGGCGGGTGATGGGCTTCATCAATCCCCAGCACTCACTATTAAATTCCACCTGCCCCACATGAATCTTGTCCATACCCTCAACAATTCCGACCATACACCGTCGCTTTCTCAATCGACTCCTCTCTATCTGGTCCAGATCCATCATCGAAGTATTAGGGATCATCAAAGGGTTTTGATGTCAAAGTAAAGGTCACTAATCTTTCCTGTCCTTTTTATGGAGTGCGATTTCCGAAAATCAAGTCAAATAATCAAATCAATCAATATCTGAAAGTCAAGTCTGTATTTAGTTGTCGGAGTGGCGCAGTGTCATGTGTGTGGCCCAGAGTAGAAACGCAGTGAAGTGGTGTCGAAGTGCAGATCAGTCAAAAAACCTTACTTAAGTAAGCACACACAATAAAAATTTGCAGAAATTATCAAAGAAAACATGTTAAAAAATAAAAGAAAATGGATAGAAGCGATATCCTAAAAATGGAAAGCTTATACTTAGTTACATTTACTCAGTGCAAAAGATATAATTGCAACCAGATATTGTGTTAATACTTTTAGGTAATAAACTAAAACAATCATCTAAACTTAAAAGTTTGAATATGTCCCCCTTCTCAACTACGAATGATTTAAAATGTTCAGAATAATCCACTGTCCTTAACATACAACAATAAAAATAAAACTTAGAATTGTCATGCTTTGAGAGTAATATTTGAGAAATTTGACAAAATTGTGGATGACAATCCTCGAATTCATACAAAAGGCAATTGTCAATTGAATATTTGATGCCATTAATTATATACCATTTAACGTTTAAAAAAATAGCATCACCTTCAGTCTCGGGGATTACTTGCTCGTTTTTTATTTTACCGTGTTCTATAACATCAGGTAGACCTCTATTATTTAGGTACATATAACAACGTTTTAGCTGGCACTTAATTGCTAGAGACAATGGCAAATTTCTTTGAGTATTTATAGAATTGGAGACACGCTTTAAATCCCTATGCTTAGCCTCATATTTAAAAGCACTTAGTAATATTAAAGGACCAATATCTTTAATAATGTCTGGATAATGCAATAAAAAATGATGCTTAGGTTTAAGCGTAGCTCCATACAAAGTAACATACTTTTCGTGGTGTTCAGATATTAGAATTTTTAAATAATCCAGTAGTTCTTCACTATAAACTTGTGACATAAGAACATTGGTCAATTCAAGCAAACATAAATAATAATCCCAAACTTTATCGTCATAGGGCACCAAATCTGCAACTAGGAACTGAAAATTCCTGACGAGACATAACATTTCAGATGCAGAAACGATTAAGACACCTTGCTCTAATTTATTTTTGTTCACCTGTGGTGGACTATTACTTGATTTGAAATCAAAATACTTAATTCTTTCATTTAGCTGCTCCAAAGTAAAATGTTCGGATCTAATTAAGTCGTTTATTATGAGCGCCATACCATATCGAAGGACACCTTCACACAAATCGTGCATTACGTCACAATATACGTTGTCGTATACATGGAATCCGGAAATATTGTTCCAAACACATGTCTCTTTTATTCCGCAATTTTGTAAAACATCATCGTCATACTGATTCTTGGATCGCTTTCTACTTTCATCGCAAAATATTTGAGATTGACATTCTCGTTTAGTGCTATAGCAAAATCTACAATAATTAGTAGACGAAAAGCTTTCGTTGAACCCTAAAATACTGTGAAGACCTAAGTTATCTCCGGCTATAACACAGAGTGCAAATTTAACTTTTATTTGACGACTATTTAATATAATGTCAACACCGTAATCATGTAAATAGTTTAATTCCTTAATTAGTGAATCAAAGACACTTTCATTGCCAAATTTTGTACGATGGTTGCTGTAAAACAACATAGCTAAAAACACGTTCTCTAGACGACTAGCGTATTCCGGGGGGATGGAAGCTATAGATACATACACTGCACCAATTTTATTGTATCCAGCCCGACTTCCAAGTGGATTTCCAGTTTCCAAATCATCAAAGAAGAGAACAAGAGGAATATAAGGATCGCTATTGTTTGTATGTCTGTGTCGCCAAAGCTTACCCTGCACTACGTTTCTAAGAATATCTTTTTCTTCAAAAAGTTTGATTTGATAAGCTCGTATTTTATCATAAACTTCAGGAATTTCTAAAAATAACTTAAGATTTTGTTTTAATGATATCATACAGACAAAATTTTCTTTTAATGTCATCACAGTGTCAACGTTTTTTTTAGACTTTTCTTGCGTAGAGCCAATGAAAGCTAAAGTAGGTTTCACGTATTTATTACAATCCTTGAAATACTTCAATCTTTTATATTCACTATCTATATGTGAAAAACATGACATCACATCGTCAGTTACAGTACTATCAAAAGGACCCTCAATGTTTAATTCCTTTAATTTTAAAAAAACATCAGTTAATAGTTGCTTAGCAGCAATTATTACTTCCTGTGTATGTGCTCTTGACATATTAAGTGTGTCGTACAGCTTTGATACAAATGAGTCTATGTATGTTCTCAATATGTCTTTAAACGTATTGCTACGAGTCTCAGAATTTCGAACTAGTTCTATATCATCAATTTCACGGCTTTGATTACGGTGCTGTCTATTATCATCTATGTTTGCTTGGCCTATGTGTTCTTCTGTTACACTAATACTATTCAGAGAAATATTTTCACTATGGCACAACTTTAGGTGATTTTTAAGAGAATGTTTCTTATGATATACTCTATCACAATTTATTATAGGACAAGAGAAGTAATCAGTAATGTTATGAAAAAGCTTCAAATGAATTGTATACTTATTAAAAGTGACAAAAACCTTACCACAAATGGTGCAATGCATGTTTGACTATTAATGACAAGTTTTATGTAAAAATTATAAACTTAATTTTTTGTTTTTTTTTTTTTTAAACTAAATATCCATCTTAAAAATCAATTTGTTACAATAATAATATATCGGTAATGTAAGGCACGACGTTGTCATACCTAGTTATGATACCATAAATACATCTCTGTATTATTAATAATATATGGTCGCTTGATTTCGGATATTTAGCATTAAAAACATGGTAAACCTTAAACAATGTGTCAAAAGCCTTTAAAGGAGACACAAACGTATACCTAATTTCATTTATCACTAAGTACAATTGCTTGACGTCCTGTAGGCTGCCTAATAATATTATATATGGTTGAACAGGGAACTTTTTTGCTTTTATTTTTTGATCTTCTATGGTTTTTGTGAGATCTCCAGGATTCTGAAAATAAAGATTTATCTATAAAGCAGAGTGTATAATCAAAATGAGATGTTTTTTGATTGTATTCTAAGTCCCAGGGTAGGACTTGAAGGACTCAAAGCTGAAAGTGCGGCGGCAGTGACTACTTTCCATTAGGTGAGCTGTCAACTTGTTTGCTGTCCTAATGAAATAAAAAATCTACCACCACCACAATAAACACCGCTACAACTGTCAATGCCACCACCCCCGCTGCCATCCCCACTACCAGAAACACCCGCCAAGCACTAGTAATAATATTATAGTACTTACTTCTACTATTATTATAAGACTATCCATACATTCTTGAATAGAAAACTTCTTTTTTTGACTGCTCCTGCCTTTAGGGGGCACCAAATGAATCATCAAACTTAGTTGCGATGGAATTTTATGCTCTGAAAGAAAACAAACTGATAATATATTTTATATTTTGATAATACAATGACACAAAATGCTTTATAGACAAGTACAATAAAAGTGTAAGGATTTTTGATGTGCAATGAATATTTTTGGTGGAAAATCGAAATACTTTTCATAATATATTTTGGTCTACGATTAAATACTACCATTTTCTTACCATCATCTGTCATAGAAGATAGTGAAGTTAATAATTTTTCTTTACAATCATCAGTTCTTATTTCTGATTTTTTTAATTCTATCAGTTTATAAAAAAACTTTTGCCACTTATTTTCGAATTCCTTTTCTTTTCCTGGATATAAATTTTTAAAATCTTCATCAATCTGAAAGAATTGTTCATAATATTACACTATCAAAAATTTTGAGTATGGCTATAATACAACCAACATTTTAGCATTCCATTTTAGCATTTAGCATCGATTCCCGGTCGGGTTAATGTAGAAAATGAACTTTTCTATATTAACTCGGGTCTGGGTGTTGTGGTACCTTCGTTGTCTCAGATACTCCATAATACGGGGGCTTTAGCTACTCATCTTGGAATCTGAGCAATGTATGTGATGTTGTTAAATATTTATTTATTTATTTTTTTTATTTTTTATCCATTCATTATTACTAGCGTCCATACACAACAATTTTTTAACACACATAAAACCCAATCATTTTCACTTGCAAGTCAACCTAATGACTACTTATAAACAAACCAACTCTATTAATTTAGCGTTCATAACAAGTTATTTTTATTTATATTTTCATAAAAAGTTATTAATTGTTTTATTTTCTTAACCTCGTGTTAAGATGAAGAGGTTAAGAAAATATAACAATGTTTAATGGCCTTCAATGACAGCCATGACCTATCCTAGGTCTAAAATTTTCTGAGACAAAAAAATAACTGTTAAGCTGACTATTCTGTAAAACGCTATGCATAAAACAATATTGTATACACTTAAACCTGCTTTGAGTTTTCTCATGCATACCCTTTGTAAAGGTTTTAAGAAAAAACATACACATTGCAGCTTGAAACGGAACAACTTTTCCCAAGGAAAATATGTTTATAAATAATATAATTTATTTAAATTTTTATACTTATTGATCAGCAGATCCAGAATGTTGTATAAGGTCAATACTATAATTTTTACCAATAATTTCTTTTTAAACTTGTTCCTCGGGGAAAGTTTTCAGTTGAAGGTACATCACATTTGTTGCATCAGAAGCAGTGCCTTAAGTTGTATACCACACAAAAAGTTATTATCTGAGTACAGTAGGGTTTTCGCCTGACTGTACCCAGCCTTAGAATCTTTGATTGCACAAATTAACTATTAAAAAAAAATGTTACAAGATAAGAAGTAAATGTTATACAAAGTCATGCTCAGCCTTGAACTAATTATACTAGTTATAATTATGCCTTACGTTTTTTTACAGACATTTGCTGCAACTAATGTGTAGTGCAATAATATCCATTTATCTTCAAGATGGCAAGAGGAATCTCTAGAAAAATACACATCAAAATTGTGTTAAGTAGCATTAATTTTAAATTTTCAAAAACAGAGACATTATGCGATGAAAAGGAGTCATCCAATTTTTAGCAGCTGTCTCGATTACTTAAGTAAACCCACCAATCTATTGTGATAATTCTTTAGTCTTTTTGGTGAAATGTGCAACAACTAAGTGTGAACAACTACTTACAAGTTCAATTGCTTTGGGCAAATATAACAATTGCCATTCATTCATAAATGTTGTTATACTTTCATAATCTTTTCCATGGCGATACTGACTAGTTTTATTCCATTTTAATATTACTTCGCTCCATGGCTCATTGTTATTCTTAAGCCAATTAACATCTTCTTCAACTGAAACTACAAAAAAAACAGGTATGTTATAAACAGTATGGCTACATTGTATAAGCAGAAATAATATAACTAGTGTGCATTGGTTTTATAACATCTCGTAGAACCATTCTCTTTTTCACTTAACCAATCAGGGATTAAAAAATACACAGTATGACACTTCACAATGCACTTGTGGAAATTTTGGCACAGAATATTACTATCATCACAGAATATTACTATCATCACGAAGATTAGCTGCTTCAACCACTACTAGCTGCCACTTTTTTATATTTTATAGGTTTACATCTAACCTTAAATATATGTGCATTGTATTTTAATGGGAACACCGCAGCTGGTTTTCATTCCCGCATTCCATTCCCTTGCTGTTTTGATAATGAACGAAGAAGTGAAGTGGGATGTTCGTATAGCTATCATAATCACCAAGACTTCCTTCATCACTAGCACCACCACCACACCACTAACTGCCACCACCATCATCACCACCACTGTTACTAGCTGCCCCACCACCACCACTCTTAGCTGCCATAACCATCATTATCATCATCACCACTACCATTAGCTACCGCCACCACCACCACTACCACTAAAAATCAGCACCACCACTGCTAAGAACAACCACAATCACATCTGCCACCAGCACCATTAAGACGACCACCACCAGTAACCATCAATCAACTCACAAGAAGTTTACAATACTGTTTCCTTAATCAAATTAATGAGGCAAGAAATTACATAATGATTTTTCACTAAAACCAAAAACATGCATTCCCTAGTTGGGAGAGGCACGGCCAATCAAGTAATAATCTTAATCTACTAAAATTTCAAATAACTTACCAACTTCAGCTTCTGAAAGTTTAACCTTTGAGCTTTCAGTTGTGTTCAGGTATTTGCGCTTACATTCTCCTGATTGAAACAAGTAGTTACGAACTTTGTCCACTAGCTTTCCACGAGCAGCAACTGATTTGCCATTATAAGAATCTCTCTTTCTAATAGGACGAGTGAAATACGTTGCAGCAGACTCTTTAGGAAAAAGAGTGATGATTTTTCCTGCTAAGATTGTATAGTCCTCATAAGTTAGTCTCCTGAAATTATACACTTGTCATGTAATATAAAGCAACTAAGTATGGAGTATGGATGGTGTAACTTTGGATGTAGTTTTGTTCAAGGGGTTCTAAATTCAATCTCCAGCTATGTACAAAAGGGATTGTGACAGACGACGGATTGTGACAGTGTTTACAATCACATGGCTTATTAGCCTGTTAGCTATCTCAATGAATTATATAAAAAAGGAAAGTAATTTAGTTTAGGATCAGTAAGTTTTTAAATTTATTATGCTTATCTGCAGACAATGCTGATGTTCTTACAGTGAATGAAAACATTGTGTGAAAACCAATCATGCTGAAGAAGAAAAATACTAAGGCAATATAAGTTGTCTGAAACATTGTATAATTATTTTATTACCTGTTAACAATATTTGTGAACAAATGCCGTATTATTATATCTGTGAGACGGCCTCGTCGTTTTGTGTCAAGAGAACCATTCACTGCATAGAATTGTAAAACACTTTTGCCTAGAGGAGAAGTTTCAAGTAAAGTTTTTAAGTCAAAATCATTTAAAGTGCTCTGGAAAAGGGCACTGAATGAAAAGCTAAGATTCTCATCAATAACGCCGGATACGTATGACGAGTCGGCCCCCAAATGGGAATCGATATTGAAACTTATGTTTTAATATCGACTTGATGTTCAAACACGATTTATGTACTTTTCGCGACCGACTTCCGCTTTGACCTTGAGATAGAGAGCAAAATATCCGTATGCTTGACTATTACTGAATGTGATATATCTCTAAAGCTAATTAAGATAAAGAAGTGAAACTAACGCGAGGTGTTAGGTTACATTACAGAGTATATCACATATATTTTTTTATAATTTTTAGAATAAAAAATTACATTAAAAAAATAAAAAATAAAAAAATCATGTTTTTTTTTCTGAGTTCTCTGTGACTTACAATCACGAAATTAATATATGTTATGCTCCTTTGTGTGCTCTATTACCCATAAAAATTGCGTGAAAAAAAAGTTGGTGCAACACAACGAAAAAAAATTATATGTGATTTCTGTCTTATGGTATACCCCTGTATTATAAGGTTTTCACATTACATCATTGTTTTTTTTTTCGAAATTTCACATCAGCTTGTTTTAAAACATAAGTAACTAGTCTTAAGAGATGGGATAATAGTTAAAAAAGAAATGAAAAAAAAAAACAGCCAGTGTTCAATACTTATTATTATTACTTTTTCGTGTCTATCAAAATACAAGAAACAAAATATTAATCATCGTCACTGTTGTAATTAATTACAATCGGAACACTTTGAGTCGCAAATAACTTAGTTAGGACCTCAGCAGGACGTACGATTTTGGACAAATATCATCCATATGATAGATAATAAATAATAGCTGCTACATGAGAACAGCATCCCACTGTACGTTTGCCATTGGGGCAATCACAGCAATAACGAAGAATACTATTGTAGTCATTACCTTCGGAAATATAGTGAATGTAAATTCGATAGACTTTTCTATTTATATGTCTTGATTTTACTTCTGCTTTGATGATATTAGGTGCTGATTTCACATATTGTACTGAGAGATTATTTTGATCGTCCATTATTTCGGCCAAGTTAAATGCTGCACATTTAGAAGTAGAAGCTTTTTTGTTAATATATGGGATAAGTCAACACTTCTTACAAAAAATATCATTAACTATTACGATTTTATTCAAACAGTCACTAAACACTTTAGCTTCTTCTTCATTCTTCATAATTTTTTTATAACCAGGAACCTTACACAGGTACTTGTTACAATTATTACACTTTCTCGACATTATTACTTAATAATTATTTGGTTCGATAGTTAATAATTTAAAAATGCTGATACAAAATACGTATGACAGAATTGAATTCCCAAACTGCCTTCTTGTGTAATACAAATGACTGCTACTTTAGCTAAACAAACGATGCAGTAAACAGCTCGATAACAAGTTCGAACTTGTTTGTTTATACACTTACACTACAAGGCGCGAATCACATATAATTTTTTTTCGTTGTGTTGCACCAACTTTTTTTTCACGCAATTTTTATGGGTGATAGAGCACACAAAGGAGCATAACATATATTAATTTCGTGATTGTAAGTCACAGAGAACTCAGAAAAAAAAACATGTTTTTTTTTATTTTTATTTTTTTAATGTAATTTTTTATTCTAAAAATTATAAAAAAATATATGTGATATACTCTGTAATGTAACCTAACACCTCGCGTTAGTTTCACTTCTTTATCTTAATTAGCTTCAGAGATATATCACATTCAGTAATAGTCAAGCATACGGATATTTTGCTCTCTATCTCAAGGTCAAAGCGGAAGTCGGTCGCGAAAAGTACATAAATCGTGTTTGAACATCAAGTCTATATTAAAACATAAGTTTCAATATCGATTCCCATTTGGGGGCCGACTCGTCATACGTATCCGGCTAAACCCTTTCAGGTAATAACTGTTCTCCGGCCTCACTGCTATCTTTGAAAGTATTGGTAGTTGTAGCAGTTTCAGTATTTGCCTAAAATAAATAAACAATTAAAATTTTTTATCTAAAAGCCTTTACATTTAAAATAAAAATTATTTTAAATGTAAAAAGGCATTTAAATAGTCAAAGATATATTACCTGTGCATCATTATATTCAGATAAGCATTTCTTCAGATTAATTCTAGTGCCCATATGAGGACATAACTCTTTTAGGTTGTCATCAGATAAATTGTTCAAATGACATACTTCAATCCCGTTATCTGTTGTAATTATTTGGACAGCATTATTACATTAGTAGGGACATAAAAGTAATAAGACAGTGTAGACAGATGGAGTGGTAAATAAGCACAGCCATCCAGTTACAAAACAAGCACATTGCTCAACAGAAGAAACTACTTTATTAGCTTGTTTCGGGGTGAAGTGGACTAGCTAGCAGGGCTGCTATGGTTTCCTGGCTCTACAGCCTCTCAATTATAGATAGTTTTTTGAGGAACCACTATGTACTCAGGCCTCCACTTTTATCTTGAGATCAAACAGATTAAAGCACACAAACATACCCCTCTCATTGCAGGGTGTGACCAAGTTAACCAGCTCTCGGGCTTAGTGCTGCAGTGAGACGTACTGGTGGGTGAATGGCGGAGTGTGTAGCTGAATGAATGTCTGACATTTTGTGAAAGAGATATTGTGACATTGTTTTATTAATTTTAACATTAACTTTACATTTTATAATTACTTTCATGAAGTAATAGATTTTAATGGATAAAAATACATTATCAGTATACACTGCTCAGTGCTCACCCTTAAAAAGTATCGCTATTTTGATTACAAGTTACGATGTACGAGAGTACGATGTAGGCATCTGCTTTTAAAGGATTTTGGGAAATTCCCACTGAAAATGGAGACTGAAATTGACGCGGACGAATTAACGGGCAGTCGTCTTGAAATATAATGACCGGCAGTCATGATGCGGTGCCATAAGCCTCAACTTAATAGGTACTAACGAAAAATAGGTAGGTACACACGTGCAAAATCCACATGAACACGCATCAGTTGAGAGGAAGATGGCAACAAATACCTGGTTAAGAGTCCTCATGCACATAAATAAGTCCAATACCTTTTCACACATTTACGAGTATGTCACCACTGTTAGGGCTCCGACCTATAACTTTCTGACGTTCAAGATGGAGTGATAGGTACTTTGTAACGAAGTTTTGTACTTACTTTTGAATGTCACGACAACGTCGGCGGGCATTCCCCACCGTGTTAGAAGGTCTTCTATTGACTCCTCCATACCAAACAACACTTAGGGTGACAATTAAATAACAACGCACTTCAACTAAAGAATAAGAAAAAATAAATAATAAGAAAGTGATTGCGTCGGTTAACCAGATAGAATAATATGTTAACCTCTGGATCCCGCGTGATACAAATTCAAATTAGTAAGAACTAAGATTCATAGATATTTTAAGATCTCTATGGTAATAATATCTAAAAAAAGTACCTAACCAAAGAGAATATAGGTAATCAAAAACTAGAAAGTAACGCTGAACGTGTCGTGTCGTGGTCAAGTCAATAGTGATACGCAACCAAAAAAAATCGATACCTGAGTATTATCGATATTTTCGATTCTATCTGCATAATACCTTTACAAGCAGTTCTTGTACGCATATATGTACGTATATGTATTTAAAAGCTAGTTCAGTAGGGCTAAGCCAATGAGTATAAATTAAAACGAGCAAAGGTCGGTCAATCGAAGTACTAACATTTATTGCAATATGTACTTGTTAATAAAATCAATATTTTCCATTCGGCCTTTACGAGACCAAAGCTACGTAACCGGTTTCGTAAAAGAAAAATAATAAATGATTCTATTTTATTTATTTATCGATCAGAGGAATTTCAAATGAAATCTTATATCTTTAACTTCATTTAGAAATTATAATATAATACTTTTGTATATGTGTATCTTCTATCTTACCTATTCTTATAAAATAACATGTCCTGAATGACTGACTGATTTATCATCGCCGGTCAAAAATTTTAAAGTTTCAGCCATGAAATTTGGTGAGTAGGGTTGTTTTATTGAGTAGAAACCCACTAAGGAAGGAAGTTTGCAAATTCTATCCCTAAGGACGTGAAATAGGGGTTGAAAGCTTGTATGGAAGACCGTAATTTATTTAAGTTAGAAACATGAAACATTATTTTTGGGCTCAAAAAATGCCTATTTATTGATTTATGTAAAAAGTAGTCCTTTCCGGGAACACCGAGCTTGGCTGCTTGTTCTACTCTCTTTTGTGTGGTTCGCATTATGAAAGATGAGGTAAAGCGCTTAGTACGGATAGGTTGAATATCCACAGTGTAAGGGTGCATTTCCGGTGTACGCCTTGAATTTCAGTAATGGAAGGGAGCAGGTGGTATAAGATTATACAGCTCTTGACCGCAAAATGCAACTTATAAAATACCGATAAACCACTCTAGCCAATGTTTAAAACTGCCCTCAAGTCAATGCGCGTCAAATCAAGGTCACGGCGCGGCGCTACACTAAATCCAAAGCTGCCAACTGATACTTGACAGAGCCGTCCCACAAGTGACTGCAATACTCCATGCATGATCGGACTTGTATAGTTTTAAAAGCTGTCCTTGCGAGAAGTATCGCCTAACTTCACACTGGAAGCCGAGCTCTTTGGCCGTAGCTGGTGGTAGTAACCGTCTGGATGGGGACCATCGCCTTTATTAGTGTTGCCGCAAAGAAGTTCGCTGTGCTCCGGTCTGGTGGGAAAGGTGCAATGTTATTACAGGATCACATTCGAGGGTATTCCATCTTAGACCCCAGGGGCAGCAACGTATTTGAGGGACTTGATCCTGAAGGTGTTAATAGGCGACAGTGTTTGCTGTCTCTTTAACATTAAAAAGTTTCAGCGTTTGATTTAGTGGAGACCCAGAATATCTAGGCCATTGGTAAGTAATAGGCACTGACAGATCTTGGAAAATGGGAGTCAGGTCAGTCGGTCTCCGCTTAGTATTCTACTAACATTCATCATAATTATGATGAGATTGTCTGCATAAACAGTCACAAATCACATCGACTGACAGTTTAATGTCAAAATCAACTTAGTAGAGGCTTTGTGGTAGACATACGTAAACATAAACATACTTTCATACACAATTATAAGCATTATTATACCCACATAATTATGTAGCTTGAAGATTATGCAAACATAATCTTCCATTTTAACTTTGCCGCAATCGGGTAAAAAGCCAATAAGAAATAATTCTAAGTAAGAGAGTTACAAACAATGTTGAGTCATACAATTTAAAATTAAATTTTAATTACTTCTGTTTACTGCATCTCTCATTAAGTTGATAGACTTTAAAACTAAAATTATTTTAATGACGATTCTCTTTTCTTCTCATAAAGACTCTGACTTACCATTTAATATCATCATCAATAGCCCGAAATCGGTCACTGTTGGACGTAAGACTCAATCCTTCACGAATATCAATCGATATCGATAATACCTACCTATTTTCAGGGTAACATCTCTTCGAAAAGAAGATAGATGCGAGGATGCGTAAACCACTGATTGGTCAAACTAATTTAATTTTTTTTTAAACAAATGTTGCGAAGATTTTGAGTGTTTGTATCAAATTAAATATCTCTTGTTCGAAACCTAAATTCTTGAGATCAGAGATAATCTGTACGATTAAGTAATCCACTCAATTCAATGAAAATATTTGACTTTTCTGTGTACGTAGTCAAAAATTCTTTAGCTAAAATGTTATTTCTTACAGATAAAAAATCCAAATTCTTGAAACTAAAATTTCGATTCATTGTGACAAAAAAAACAATTTTCTACATAGAACTACGCGGTTTACTACTAGTAAAAATACAGACTTCTCGAGACTAGAATTTTGTTTCATTACGACAATTAATTAAATTTTCTTATACAGAAGTATACGATTTTCTAGAGATAAAAATATCAATTTCTTGAGAAAACTATTTCGATTCTTTCCAGTTAAGAAATTCACGCTCTTAGGTTAAAGATAATTGAACAGGATAAAAAAACTCAAATTGTTGACACTATAATTTTGGTTTCTTAACACTAAAAAATACATTTTCTCTGTGTAATAAAATGAGTGTCTGGTTACAAGAATTTAAAATTCTTAGCCTGAAGTTGTATGAATTATTTATAAGAAAAGAAATATAATCTTCATTGAACCAATTATGTTTCCTTTAAAACAAGCAGTTTCTCTAATAGAAAAAATGTTACGTAATCAGTTTAAAAGCTTAGATTATTTTAAAACAAATGACTTATTTTAAATTAAGAATTCATGGTTTTGAATGGAAGGAATGAATTAAGTTTGATTAAAAAGCAACAAATTTACTTACTGGAAAGGCAGTTCTGTTGAATCAAAATGTTTGCCTCTCGTTTTGTAGAAGAAAATGATTTTTTTAAATCAAGTATGTCGACTATTCCTCAAAGCAAACATTCTTGGATGGAAATAAAAATGTTCAAGAGCAAATAATTTCTTGGTTAATTTAACTGCAAATTAAACCGAATGCGCTAACCCACTACGCCATCGGACCTATTATACCCAACCTATACTAATATTATAAAGAGGAAAGATTTGGTTATTTGTTTGTTTGCATCGAATTTGCTCCAAAACTACTGGACCGATAGTTTCAGAGCGATTCCGACCTACCACATCAGACGCGGATGTCATAGGCTATAATTCTGCGGCAAAGTCGCGGGAAAACAGCTAGTTCATTATACCCTGTGAAAACTTATCAGCGGTACGCCTGTGGAGTATGAAGGCAACACGGGTTGGCGATAATCGAAACTACTTTCTCGATCTCTATTGTGCAAACTGCGAGTTTTTTCAGAGACCAAGCGCATTTCTGTATCAAAGGAAGTTTCATACTCATACCACACGGAATGTATGTTACGATCAGCAGTTAGACGCACTATGCGATCTTCACAAGTTTTTTAAGATCAAACACTTGTTGTATGATTTCTCAGAGAGCTCAAGAGATTGTGGCTGACGGTAAATGCTTCAGATTCAACTTTAGTGCATGAGCCTCGCGTTGGCGCTTTCCGTCCGATCTCTTTCTTTGTCAATAAAATTCAGTCGGTACACGTCTGACGGAAGATACGGGGAGTTTTATTTATTGATATAAAAAATATATACATATTTTAATTTCGATTTCCCACACTCAAAGGAAATCGTCTACTAACACATACTTCCGAGAGGTGTTTAACTGAGCTTCCGTCAGGTTTGGACGGCTCTCATCATCATCATCATCATCAGCCCTTTTACGTCACCAACTGCAGGAACTCAGGCCTTCCTGGTTAAGGAGGATGGGCCACGACCCTCCATGCTGGCCCAATGCGGATTGGAGGATATTAAAGACTGCAAATACAACCGGGACTAATCGCTTTACATGCCTTCCGAAGCTTGGAGTTGCTTCAGATGATATTTTTTCATGTCACCCATCCTGTGACTGACCTTTGCGACAGTTGCTTAACAACTACAATAGCGGGCCATGGCGCTTATTCACTATGCCACCGAGCTACTCTGAACCGATCCTCAGACTCGCGTAATATTATATGAATGTTGTGACCAATGAATAAACCATCGTTTCCAGCGAAGACTGAAAATACCAACTTTGAAGTACGTACCTACAGCAATTAGTATGTATGTTAAAAAAAAACAGAAATAGTTTTAGCATAAAAATAGTAATAACAGAAAAAAAATATAACTCGAGTTGACTTTACGTTCTTAACTTCAGCTGGCGTGAATCTAACTTTTTTAACGTCGTGGAAAAGCTTCTGAGATTGTCTCTGTTACCTGGCAAGCAACAGGGGGTGAGTAGTATTCTCCTCCGTGAACCCGACAGTGAGCTGCCCAGTGGGTCACCAGAGGCTTACCCACCAAAATCCGTACGTTACACCGTCTCATGTGAGATGAAACTATGGCCGAGTCACCAGGACACTCAAGTATTGGACCATTGGTTCCCTTGGCGATGGATAATTGGACAGGCTCGGGTAAATCAAGTGCCTCTCCCAAACAGACGAAACCGTGCAATGCGGGGACGGCTGCTAACCACCTCCGCTGGCCCCGACGACATGAACCTAATCTGATAAAAATTTGCGTTTACGTAAATATGAGTTTCCAGTGAACTACTGAATGCTTAATTGCATCATCGAAAGGCTCTTTTCGCTTGTTCTTCTACTCGAGCACAGTGTAAATATAAGTAGACAGTGGTGAAACTTCCTACAAGCGTTCGAA